CACACACACACACACACACACACACACACACACACACACACACACACACACACGCACACGCACACGCACACATTCGCGGAGCAACGAACGCGCGCTTGTGGCGTTGCGAAAGCTCGGCTGTCCAACAAGAGAGACACAAAGGCCGAAGTATGCGGGCCGTCAATAGTACAGCAGTAGAAATAACACGGCGAGGTGGCGGGGCAGTGCCGCTGCGCTATAATAAAGCCTCAATGAAACGCCAATAAAAGCCGATGCTATCGCGGAGTTCGTGGATGGAGCGGGGCCTTACAGAGAGGGTGGTGCAATGAACACGAACACGTAGCGTATGAACATTATCAACACTAAGCGCCAATAACTGCTGACAAGAATTGCAATAACAGCAGCAGCAGCGGCAGCAGTAACAGCAGCAACAGCATCAGCAACAACAACTTAACGAAAAAACAAAAACGAAAACAACAGCATCATCAACAACAACGACGACGACGACGACGACGACGACGACGACGACGACGACGACGACGACGACGAAAAAGAAGAAGAAGGAGAAGGAGAAGAAGAAGAAGAAGAAGAAGAAGAAGAAGAAGAAGAAGAAGAAGAAGAAGAAGAAGAAGAAGAAGAAGAAGAAGAAGAAGAAGAAGAAGCGACCGTAGAACGGTGCTACACACGAACACACGCGCATGCGCATGCAATAGCGACCATAAATCTCGTTCTACGCGCATGCGCGTGAAGGGATGCGAGAAATAAAAATAAACATAAATTTCTTTTTTAGCTCGCGGACGTTAATAAAATATGTATTATATATGTAAAATAAGTAGCAAACAGGTGGCAGTGCTCACCGAGTTACGTGCGTATGTACAGCCGCGCAACTAACACTATATATAACTGCATGTAAGCTACACTTATATGCACTATAGTTATTCGGCGAGAGCGAAGAGATAATGAAAGACCAACTCCCACCGACTGACCTCGATGGGGCAAGGGCAGCCGTCATAAATAACGCTTGTAAATCGGAAAAGAATTGTTTTACCGGATATCCGGTCTACGCGAGCAACGTGCGTAGCGCCACGTGGAGAGCTGTAGGTCAAATACGTTCACGTCAGCACGCACGCAACTTCGCGCGTTTACTAAATAATAATAGCTCCAGCACGCCTGCGAGATATCGCGTTGCTCTAATATTACGTTATCGCATAAAGAGCTCGGGAAGCATTTAAACGCGAATTGTTCGCGAAAATTCGCAGCGCCCGTATAAAAAAAAGTGTGTATAACGACCGACCCGTCATTACGTGCGCGTTGTGTGAACAATTGCGGTTTAAATGCACCGCCCCCGCCCCCGCTCCCCTGCCATTATGCCAACGTGCCTGTCCTCGAGGCCTGATTCCAGATCTGTCCGGCTGATTGACTGTTCGGCAATGCTGGTAGCGTTCGTTTGTCGCGCGCTCGCTGGGAAAAATTTCGACTCTCGGTCGCTGCTAAACTGTTACATCGGGAGAGGAGCGGGAGCACAAAGAGAGAGAAAAGAGCACAAAGAGAGGCTCCCGACACAGCAAACAATTCACGAGAGGGAGAGAGAGTGTGAATGAGAGAGAGAGAGAGAGAGAGAAAAGAAAAGAAAGCGAGGGAAGGGGCTGATAGATAGCGATAGCGATAGAGAGAGAGAGAGAGAATAGAGAAAGAGAATAAGAGAGGGGAGAGAACGAGAGAGAGAGAGAGAGAGAGAGAAAAAGAAAGCACGAAGAAAGAGAGAAAGAAAGCGAAGAAGAGAAAGAAAGCGCGAGAAAAGAGAGAGAGAGAGAGAGAGAGAGAGAGAGAGAAGCGTAAAGCCGCGCGTGCGCACTATGAACGTCTTCGTAAAACGTAAGCTTCGTACAAGAGGCGGTGTACGTACCTGCCCGCTACGTACATATAGTGGTCGGCAATAATAGGTGAAAGAGAGTAGAGAAACATTAAGAATTTGGTAGTAAATAGATTTCGTATTTATTTAGCATTACATTTTATTGAAACGCTCCAAGTGCCTGCGGCTACGTACATGCGCGCACGCATTGTGAGCGCATTACCATTAGGGTTAGGGTAACCACGCGTGTGATTACAAGTCGGCACACTGTGTGCGATATTAGGAAAGATATGCGAAAAGATATGCGAAAAAATATGCGGAAAGATATGAGGAAAGATATGAGGAAAGATATGATGAAACTCGGGTAGCGCCCGCACTCGTCACCCCGTATACTACACGAACGAGAGTGGATGAACAGCACATGACCCCCCTGAACTCCCGTTGTTCATCGGAACATCCTCGGATGAACAGAGAATAGATCCGAACGCCCACGAACTCCACCATCGGTACAACACGATCGGGAGTGAATGAACAGCACTTCACCTCGCTGCGTCCTTGACCCCTTCTGAACTCGCGATGTTCATCGGAACATCTTCGGATGAACAAAGAATAGATCCGAACGTCCGCGAACCACAACATCGGAACAACACCGACTCTCCGAACAACAAACACGCGCGTTCAACTAGACGTTCATCGGAGCATCGATTTTCTCCGCTGTCTCCTGAAGCATCCCTCCTCTCCGCAGTATCTTCCAGATTGCGGTGTCGCTCAGAAGCCGTACAGATTGAGCCCGCTCGACAAGCAAGCCCCAACGCACCCCGACCCGAAACAGACGTCATTCGAAGAGCATTACGTAAGCGTGTGTGCGTGCGTGCGTGCGTGCGTGCGTGCGTGCGTGCGTGTGCGTGCGTGCGCGTGCGTGTGTGTGTGTGTGTGTGTGTGTGTGTGTGTGTGTGTGTGTGTGTGTGTGTGTGTGTGTGTGTGTGTGTGTGCTTACGCGCGCGTGTGTGTATGTATATATTTAGGCGTAGTACGCCTCAGCGCTACGCCTCCACACAGTAACACCTTCTCGTGTATGTAACACAACCCTGTAACACACTGGTGCCGTGTGGCGGGGCCGGGGTCCTATACTGTTGGTGATACGCACTGTTGTTGGCACGCATTAAAGTGCATTTGATCGATTCGAGTCACGAAGCGTGTCCGATCACCCGCTCGCCCGCACACACGGGAGCCGTTGCAACAGCTGCCGAAAAACCAGTAGTAAACTAGTATATGTTTGTATATATATATATATA